CTGTGCCCTTAGTCTTTTAGGTTTATTATTTATTTTGAGCTTTAACGGTTAGGGTTTATCCCCTCTTCTTGGTTTTCCCTTCCCATTTAGTTAATTGATTTCACCAGTCTACCCTCAGTTCTCTCTCCTCACGCCCCTGCTCCTCATCTCCCAATCACCCAGTCACTGTGTATATAACCCTGTCTGCATCTCAGTGTTTTGTCGGTCCATTGATGTTTGTCAATGTGCTTTGTCCCCCCACTAGGTCTCTAGGTCTCTGCTCATAAGTGAGCTTTTGGGTTTTTTTCAGTTTAGATATCAGGTTTGGCTTCTTGCGTTTTTGTATTTTTTGTTCCCCATCCTAATAAAAGGGATTTTTACTTTCACAAAACGCTCCTGCCTCGTGTCGTCTGGTGTTCTGCATCTTGGGTCCTAACCACCCCCCTACTCGCATCGTAACAGGTTCTTCCATTCTTGAGACTCGGTTAAAAAAAAATGGAGATGCATGTCAGAAAAATGCAACAAATATTATTGGCAATCTTTTTTGTATTGATCTAGATGTAAAATAAAGTTGATAAAAATTATATGAGTACAACTTTTAAACTTTCATCTAAAAGGTGAAAAATCATGGACCCAGGGTCCGAAATTAAATTTTTTACTCACCAGCCAAGTTGGCTGGTAGATGATGAAAATCTACCGGCCAAGCATATTTTTTACCGGCCAAAATTCTAAATGATTTAGATCTACCTAAAGCATGTTATTCTATATTATGTTGATTCCAAACAGAGTGACAAAATAATTAAAACATCAATTAATAAGGAAAACAACTCTTTTGTCATTTTTACTATTTATTTATTTTTAGAAATGTTTTTATGAACTCTTTCATTGAAATCTAGTCAGACTCCTTGTTTTCTCTGTCCATGAAGTCTGGCCTCCTGCTTCTGACACCGTCTTTGTGCCAAAGCATTACAGCCTCATTTGGGTCATAGTCCTTGATCTCTGGAGAACACAGCTGCACCATGAGAATATCTGAAAGTGTCAGGGCTAGGGTTGTCACGGTAACCGGTGTAGCAGTAAACCCCGGTAAAAAAGTTGACAATAATAATAACCATCTTGTTTTAAAAAAAAATATATTATCTCGGTGGATTACCGTGGCTGCGGTGTAGGCGCGGTGACCCTTACCAGCCACCGTATCATCTGTGACGTTGCCGGCGGCACATGCACACTTTAGCACTCGGGACATTTATTATCCCTCAAAGTCGGAAGTACAGGCATTTTTTGGATATTTGAAGAATGCCGAGGGACAGTTGATAGAAGATGGCTACCCTGTTTGCAGCACGAGCAGAAAAAGTGTCTGTGAAAGGCAGCAACGCTACATGGCCATCATAATGTAGCATTGTCTCACGACTCCGCCGTCTCCAGTTCGCCACTTTTCACAAAATCTTCTGGTTGCCACTGGTCCTGGTGGTTTTTCTTCCAGTTCGACGAGTTTTCTTTTGGAAGGTTGGCTGACTCCAGTTAAAAACCACCACATTTCACCGCTAGTATTAATGCAACGCTAACTGCTAACTTGATAAACTGATTGAATGGGATAGGTGGAAATGACGTTGGATGCGGCATTCACATTTCGCGTACGTTTGTGTACGTTGCGTGCAACCGGGAGGAGTATCAGAAATCCATGGAAGATGACTGATAAACATAACTAATTTGGTGCAAACATTTACTCGCCAGGTGGCAGATAGAGCTCAAAAATTTACTCGCCAAATGGAGCAATTTGCTCACATTTGGCGAGTGGTGAGTGTTAATTTCGGACCCTGCATGGACCACATGCTGGATAAATAAAAGGGTACTCACGTTAACATTCTGAACGTTGATAGCATCATTTTATTAGTTCAGAACTAGTATTTTACCAAAAATTCACCCTTTTTTTCCCTTTTGATTGCAAGTTGTGTTTGTAGAGTGAGGTTGTTGAAGTTTACTGTCAGTGACCCGAAGAGCTACTGCAGTTCTTCTAATTCTTTTAATCTCATCCCTGCTGTTGTGTGCTGACTGCTATGTGATGAACGAGGCGAGTCAAGAACGGTTGTGTCAAAAACAATCTCCCCAGAGGGAATCTGATGTCCTTGTGTAAGAACTGCAAAGTCTCAAAGGACTCACTACAAAGCTCGCCGGTCCAAAAATCCCACCAAGGACAGATGATGTCTCCTCAATTTAATCCAAATTCATGGACAAAGGTCAATGTCTGCTTCCACTTGGTTCTCTTCCACCAATTACATTTTGAAAAGCATGCTAACTGACAGCCTCTTTGAAACAATTGGGTCAAAGTTACATTTTTCTTTTAACAAAACCAACGTAATCTGGACAAACTGTACTGTCAAATCACTTAGATCTTCCTCATGAAGTCTACTGTAAACACTTTATTCACTCAGTTGCACAAACAAATGTTATGTAGTATTTAATTACCAAAATCTTGTGATGGAAATTAGGATCAAGCATATGATTCAGGTCATAATAGATTAAATTATTTAATGGTATCAGAGCCACGTGTTAAAGCTACAACGGCAAATCTGCAAAACAAACTAGCTTAACGGTGGAACAGGAGTTAAGTGCTCACCCTGTAATCAGAGGGTTGCAGGTTCAAGTCCTGCTCAGTCTGTCACTTTTGTAGAGTCCTTGGGCAAAACACTTTACCCACCTTGCCTGCTGGTGGTGTTCGGAGGGACCGGTGGCACCTGTGTACGGCAGACTCACCTGTCAGTGTGCCACAGGGCAGTTGTGGCTACAGTGTAGCTCATCACCACCAGGGTGTGAATGTGAGTGAATGACTGTGTTGTAAAACACCTTGGGGGGTTCCAGGACTCTAGTAGGTGCTATATCAAATACAGGCTATTTAAAAATAGTTTTCAAGCCTCTTAAAAATGGGTTTAATTCATTCAGTTTTACAAAAATTGAGTTAAATCTGAAGAACATTAAAGAGAAAATGGACTTACCCAAGTTGTTTCTATCTTATTGCAATGGGTTGTCAAAGCAAAAATCCACATAAGAGCCACACCAAAGTGTCACATTGTGTCACAAGAGTCTTTTGTAATTCCCCACCACCATCACTGACCATTCCCAACATCCCTAAATCCGTCTTGTCAATACAGAAAAGACCACACGAAGAACACACTTCTCAGCTCCCTTCTCTTTTTTCAAACTGTCAAAAGTTTCCGTATCTTGTTGTGAGTTCTACATGGCATAACTAAGACCCTGAAAGCAGCTTATCTGCTTAAAACAGGGGAGGAAAAGGGTGGAGAAAGAAGAAAGTGTCTGAGTCTTCGATTTATTTCCTGGTTCACACAGAGGGCTTATTGAAGGCATTCGTTTTCCCCTCCAGACTATCCCTCTTCACCATCCATACTCATCTAATCCACTTAGGCCTCCACTTCCTCCATTGGTTTTGATTGGCCAGGCATCCAAATTTCCTCCACAGGACTTTGGAAAATCAATAATCTTCACTGCAGTGCAAGGATATTTCAAAATGCAATAATGGTTGCAGCTGTAGTGTTTTAGGTTATCAATTTCCCTTTTTTGGCATGACTGATTTGACTTTGGCACATCCAGGTGCACCATACTTCATTATTTTTTTACAATTCATGCTTGCTAGTATCATAAACGAACTGCACCACCTTAAATATTCCCATCAGTTGAGTCAATTCATAAGTCTTTGTCTATAGTCGTCTTTCCTCGAAACTAACACTAATGCTAATGTCATTGAAACCCCAGGTGCTTCTAGAGACTCTTGAAGTCTTAACATCAGTCCCTGCTCCCCCCTTCCCTCCCCTGGGTCCAATTTTCCCTGCATGAAGCTTCAAGGCCCTCAGCTGAGCTCTCTGTTTAGCAACAACAGTAGCACAACAGTGTGAATGTGTGTCAGACAGAATGGTAATGAGCGTCCCAGAGACCGAACGCCATTCTTTCCCCCTCTCTTTCTGCCTGAAAATAGATTTGTTCTTACATGCAAAACAGACATTGTAATCACATTTTCTCATTCCCGATGCACCTGGGGATTTGTTGCACGTGCACCAAAAATGTAAATGAATGCAGGGAGACAGTCATCACTGGTGATAAATCACATTACCCCCCAAATTCTGCTTAGCAACACAACCAAGCTGCACTGTAAGCAACATAGTTTTACGTTGGTCCACCTCGTTTCTTTGCTTTATTGCATACATACAAGCAAGGAGAACTGCACTCATGTTGGAAAATGTTGCAGAGAGCCCAGATTTGATGTGAAAAATATCTCTTTAGTAGCACTGTGGAGCAGGAAGTTAATGCAGAAAAACTTGCAATATTCTTTTCTATAAATCTTCCGAGTTGTGACTTAGTGAAGATGTCGTCAAACGTTGCTTTTTTGGGACTACAGTTAATCTTTTGTTGAGCTAGCCTAAAGTCTTTGTGGGCCGGGCAGGACCGGCATTTTATTATGCCTTTGGCGCCGTACATCATGGAATGGCCGCAGTCTGACTAACAAGCTCGGGGAAATGTGGCGCATGGGGTGAGATAATAAATTATCTCAGAGACTTATGGGAGAAGGAACACTTTTTTTTTTGGTTTGAGCACATTTGTTTGCTCCGTCTGGTTACATAACACAGCAAAAGGGGAAAAAAAAGAAGACTCACCGGTAATGGATTAGGTTTTCACTTGCACCCTTTTTTCCTTCCACCCTTAAAATGTTGAAACACTGACAAATATTAATGCAAGTTGTGCAAACGCGGGGTCCTCAAGGGAGACCATCGAAGATCCTTCATGTCTTTCTGTTCCTTGACAGCGACTACTCCTAACCTCAAGTATGCATGATGCAGGAAGACAGTCATTTTTCAAGGGAGCTAGTGACAAATTCAGCTTACATTGAAGTTTAGGTTGCTGTACATTGTAATTTGCTGACATTTCTCTTTTTCTTTCTCTTCCTCTCCTTTTATCCCCCTTCATACCTCTCCTTGTTCTTCTGCTTCCTTCTTTCACCAATGGTGTGCTCACAGATGTTGTCCACAGTTCCACGCTAGGTAAGTCATTTCATTTTTCATAGCTCTGCCCTCAAGAGTGAGAGTCATGTTTGAGGTGTCTTGTTTTTGGGAGTGTAGTGAATGCATAAATAAAGTACGTCGGAGTCGGAACTGAAGTGGCACCAGGATGCTGCCGTGTGCCCACTAAGGGATGCAAGTCCTTTGCAATCATCTCCCATCCTTGTTTTCCTTCAAATGTGTGTCTGCTTTGTGCCTTTTAATTTGAGATTAATTCAAATGAGAATCAAATGTCCCAGATTGTTCAAAGAATACATCTACAGTGTTGACGTGAATTTGAAAGCGAGAACGGATGGTGTTTGTTTCCACACTGTGGTGAGTGTAAGGAAAGACAAAACAATACGATGAGGTTTAAACGTTCACAACTCCTGTGTTAACAATGCCGGTGTGGACAGTGTTCATTTTACTACCATTTAATAAAGAGTTCAATTGATGTTGTTGAGCAATAACGCCTTGTAGCTGTCTAAATCCGGGAGCCAGTTGCGTAAAACTGTCTACTTAAGTTTTAGAATGCATTTGCATTTTTTTTTTTACCAGTTTACAAAGCTGTACTTTTATGTGGGTCTCTTCTATGCATAGACATAAATGAGAAACTTTATGCACAAGCAACAACCTGATTTCCGGTTCCATTTCTTGGCATGAATAGATGCAGATGCTGTCGAACGCTTAGTCACTGGGATTGGAAAACAGAATCATTTTCATGACAGTGTTGCAAACTCTGAGAACAATAAAAGGAACTGCGAGGAGAAGATTCAGTTTTATCGTATCTAAAATGACGTTGGGACTAATTAGTGAAGTAGAAAAAAAGTAGGAAGTGTGTTTTAGGATTTGAGTTATGAAAGTAAACGTGCTGAATGGTGGGAATAGAGTTAATTTCACAGAAAATGAGCCTACCTCGGTGATCTGCTTTATTTGTTTTACCTTATTTGTTTAACCTTAAGTGCAAAATGTAAATTGGTTCACACAGTCGACAAATAAAATCTGAAGCAGTTTTTTTTATTTATATTTTTTCATGTTTCTGACTTGTTTGATAATTTTTCACTCAATAGTAGCAAATCAGTATTAAGTATTGTCTTTAACATTGGGATTTAATTTTAAATGTCCGTATAGCTGCAGTTCCATTGTATAGAAGATTAGGCCAGAAAGAAACTGAAACACCCTCTAGTGGCTGGCTGCTGTATGAGCTTTAAGTCTCAACCCCATCCATATTAGTTATTTGGACATTTTTCTGACAAAAAATAAAGATCACTTCAGATAGATTTTTTCAGGAGTTTATTTGTGTTATTTTTTTAGTTTTAACTTTGCTGGAGTTCAATTTTGTCTTTAAAGTCCCACTGGTCATCATCACACACTGGTGAAATTCATCTCCGCACTTAACCAATCCTGTGGGAAGCAGTGAGCTGCAGCAATAGCTGCACTTTGAAACTATTTGGTGGTTTAACCCCCAATCTAACCCCTTAAAGCTGAGTGCCAAGCAAGGAGGCATTGGGTCCCATGGTTAAAATCTTTAGTATGACATGACCATGGACTTTTACTCCAACATCCTGCTTGCTGTCAAATCCTGTAAAACCAATATTTAAGTTTTTTTTATTGGTTGGAGGTTAGATGGGGACACAAAATACTAAAAATAGTAACATTTTCTGTCAACATCACACTGATGACATAAGTAAATTGACCCCTAACTGTAATAAAGTGTTGACCTGACATTTAAGGTCAAAGATCAGACATTCTCCTTCAGGTTTTTTTTGCTAGAGAGCAGATTTCATGATTCCATCAATTACAGCCAGCGACCCAGGTCCTGAAGCAGCTAAGCAGCCCCAGACCATCACACAACCACCACCATGCTTGACTGTTATAAATTTCTCCATCTGAATTCCAGTGTTAGTTTTTTGGTCAGCTTAAATTTTGCTAACGGTTAGCTTCTACTAGTCGAGACCACAGACATCATATACAAAGATACCTCATGGACTGGTTTTGCCTTTTGGAAGTGGTGTAGCAATGGATCGCCATCTTGGATGAGTCTCCATTTGCCCCTAGTGCATTTATTTCTACTGAGAAATGTGTTTACGCAACTAAAGACACGTTTTATTATGCTTTTTCACAAAAACAGACACATGGTAGACATAATAAAATGAAACAAACGAAAATATAACATCAACAGGTAGGCTAGAAAAGTCAACAGTAATCCCAGGTGATCGGTTTTCAACAGTACGCCAGTTGTTGCAACCGTAGGCTGCACAAAAAACAGGCGTAAGTTCTCACTCGGCGTTGACTCCAGTTGGGTTTGGAGAGTGAGGACCCCGTCTAATATGGCGGCAATGCAGTTATGTTCTCCCGCGTCTAATGGGCGTCTATATATTCATGACTTTGGTCGAGAGGTTCTCTGCTGTTTCCTGGATGCTAAGCCTGGCTTTTAAGGAGATAAATGCATTTTCGCTGCACTGCAAGCCAATGAATGCATTTTTGTTTTTGTTCAGATTTTCTTGCATCCTTTCCTATCTCCACTTCTTGTCTGGTCCAAAGTCACTCATAACTGCTCTAAAGAATACATGTGGTGTGTTTGGTCCTTCATAAATACCCATGTGTGTGGTAAATAATCAGCGGATGGTTTTATGCTCTTTGTTGTAGAAGGAAAGCACAAATCGCAGTGGTGGCAGCGGCACACGAGGCTCACAGATCCCCGCCAGGGTTAGATGGAATATATGAAAAGGTTTTAGCCACAGAGTGCCAAAGCAAGTGCAGCTTCCACTGTTTTGTCTGACTGTTTTCAGAGACGCTCAGCAAGTGGTGGGAAAGTGATAGAGGTCAACTGCATGACTGACTCTACCATAGCAGGGTGTCGGTGCAGGACGGCACTACCAGCGGTTCTGAGCATCTGCTCATGAGGGAAAAATCAATCTCCTCATTCCAAGATGGAACTGGTGGATTGTACTAAAAAAGAAAAAAAAACTGATGTTACTCTCACCAGACTGGTGTTGTGTCTCAAAATCTTGCATGGATTTTTCCTTGTGTAACTGAAAACACTGAAACGGTCTGACTAGTTGGTAGAGCGAGCAGTTCTGGTCCAGATCTCAACTCTTTGAGGCTGGCTGACTGCTCGAAAAAAAGAGTGAAAAAAAGAAAACCCCTGGCTAGCTGAGAATAATAAGTACCCATGGGAAGCTGCCAGATGGACATTTACTGTGAGCCTAGCTGGAGAGGGAGAAATCTGTCAAACATCACACCAGGCATCTGTAGGGAGGGGAGTGGGGGGGCAGCACAGGTTCAGGTCCACTACAGCGAGCCGGATGAGAGGAGTGCTCTTTGTCGAGACTAAAAGCTGTTAGATTTTTTTGAAATATCACATATAGTTGATGCATTTGGCTCCTTTCAAGGTCAACAATTCACATTACATTAAAGCCCCGATGTTCGAGAAAGGGCTTTAAATAATGTGGAGATAATGGATGCTGTAAAGATGTTTCCTCTTTTAACTCAAATGTGCGTGCAGTTTCCGGGCACTTGCTAGCTGTTAATCAACACTTTACATAATTTAGAGCCGTGCTCAGACCACCTCGTGCAACGAGCGACGTTTTATTCTGGTGAAATGTGTTTCGGTCAGAAAGATATCTAAAAAATGTGTTTCTGCCTGGGATGATTCCTAAAGTCTCACTGTGGCTCCTTCCGAAATTTCCATTTTTTTTCTCATTCTTCTTCTTTCCACAAACTCTTCATTACAAAGCTATAGGCGAGGAATTACAATTGGCTTATTATGCTCTAGTAAGTTCAAGGGTGTCAGAGTCGGTAAAATGAGAGAGAAAAAGCACAAAGAGTTCATTCCTGTACCGTCAGCGGTGAAATAGGAGCCCGCTCGTCTCAAACAAGCTGAGCGCCCGTTGTGATTGCATTATTGTCTGGCCACCCCTCCATTCAGACAGGAATCGAGCCACACTTGATCAGCGATATGACACTGGCAGGCAAGAGGAGAGTGATCGCTAGCTGCTTAGTTAAGCAAATATCATCATGCTGTTGATGTCTAAAAGTAGGTTTGTGCTCGGTTTTAAAAGAGAGGGAAAAGTGAAAGATAAAAGAGCAGTCTGGACAGGATGCATAGTCCTGATAGCTTTGTGATGCAGCAGAGTGGATTCCTCTGAAACATTTCTGTCATCCCTCGGAGGTTAAGAACAATGGTATTCATAGGTAATACAGGACTTTTAATTTCTCCATACATGCCCTGGCAAAATGCTCTTTTACCTTTACAATAAAAGCATAGTTTTTTGTAGTTGTGTGCTTTTTATATCAGGTTTGGTTTGGTGTACAGTTCTCCTTATCAAAGAATTGTGTTGAAAATAACTAAAAGGTTCCTGTTAAGAAATATTTTATCTATTTGAAGAATGTCAAAAAGTCAAATATCCTAAATGTCTAATAAATGCACGCAGCACAACTTTTTGAACCAATTAAATGATCACTGGTGTTACAATTAACTTTTATTCACGTGGATTTCTTTGGTCATTTTCAAGTGTATGTGTCCCATCAGCTGTTTAGCATTTTTTGTGAATTCAGAGGTCAATTAGCCTCACAGGCACTCCTGTTTGATTCAATTCAATTCAGGTTTATTTATATAGCGCCAAATCACAACAAGAGGTGTCTCATGGCACTTCACATAGTAAACATTCCAATACAGGTCAGTTCATTAAGCAAATCAGAAAAAAGTTTCCTATATAAGGAACCCAGCAAATTTACAGCAATCCTCATACTAAGCAAGCATTTAGGAAAACCCCCTTTTAACAGGAAGAAACCTCCAGAGGATCCTGGCTCAGTATAAGCAGCCATCCTCCACGACTCACTGGGGATCGAGAAGACAGAGCAGACACCCGCGCATGCACGCACGCACGCAAACACACACACACACACACACACACACACACACACACACACACACACACACACACCACAACATATATAACAAGTAATGTTTCTATGGTTACATTGTGATGTCTTAGTAA